CACAACCAGAGTATGTTGAACCGGATGTCTCTTGGGTTCATTCTTTGGTTTTTTCTGAGAGTTCTGAGATATTTGGTGCTAAGAAGCAGAATTATGATCTCTATAAACATTTGCCATCACCGTGGGCAGAGCAGATTGTAGCATAAAGTGCCTCTTGAGTTTTCTTACTAATTGTCATTATTATCTATTTATTTAATTGTTAATTGAAATTTTGTTAGCATTCAAATTACATAAGAGTATAGTTGGATATAGAAAGAGAGATGTTGCTAGGAAAAAATTCCATGCTTGTCCAGGGAATTGTACAGCAGGGATATTTTCTTCTTGTTCAAGGGAAGAGTTTATCACATAATGATACCTTAGATTAATTAGTTTGTTAGATTATCCTGTTATTAGCTGTCACCTTCAACATAGTAATTAATTTTCTATTTTTGCCTCTCCTTGGTTTTAGAATAGTTGCTAAGCCTCTCTATAAATGGTTTCCTTCTTCTCTGTTGATGCTATTTTAAGTGGCATGCCTTGGATCAGTAGTTGTAAGCGTCTTTGGTATAAGGGGTTGAGTGAGAGAATGTGAAGGCATCTTGGATTATACTTAAGTTATGGATAGGAGTCATCGTAAGAAACGGTTTGCCGGCACTGGCTCCGTAGTATGTTTCAGTTATCCATTGCTAACCCAAGGTGGCAAGTGATTCACAAACTAAGATTGGCTAACTTTGTAGCAGAAATTGGAGGAAGTGTTTTTCTTATTATTGTTAAGCATAGATGTATATAGGTTACAATATATTGTATATAGGTTACAATATATTGTAATTCAAGTGTGATTGAAGCTGGTATGTTTAGCTACTGCAAGTTAATAGAAATAAAAGTAAATGTAAGTGTGATTGATATGGTCTTTTTCGAGTTATCTGTATGTGATACAAAGATGTTTTTAGTTGTGAATGGTTCTTTCAATCTTTGGTTAACCAAATGTGTGTAGTGCTAGTGCAAGAATTGATTGTTTTGTGATTTTGTTTCTAGTTGAGGTGGGAAGTGGAGCAGATGGTTTCATGATCAAAATGAGAGATGGAAGACACTTGAGATGTGTTCATAACAATCCTCAGGGAAGTCATCTTCCGGATTATTCACCACACCCCACTATTGTTTTGAAGATGGAAGAAGAGACCAGTCTACTTCTTCCTATAATTTTTTGTATGTCTTTCTCACACCCTATAATCATATAAGTTTGTTTCTTGAATTTTACAGTTTTAAAGTTCTGCAATGTTTTTATTTGCAGTGGAGATGCCAAGCGTCTTACTAATGGTAGCAGTTCGCAACGTTCTAATTGTATGCCTTCTTTATTAGTTGAATTGAATTTCACTATTTTACTGTCACATGTATCTCAAGACTTGCAACTTATTTTACCTGTTCTTCCAAGATGTGTCATAAATCAATTATTCAATCCAGAAATATTCTGGTTGTATATAATATAGCCACATGAATTCTAACTATTTGGTTGCTGTATCGGCTAGGCCTACTTTATACCAAGCAGTGATGGAGATGATTGATAAAATGGGTTACCAGGTATGATTCTGTTTCTTTTCACACTCTTACTTCTAAATCCTGATTATATTGTAATTTTTCCATCAGATTCCATGATAACAAATTTAAGTTCTGATACATTTCGATCAAACTACATATCTATCTGTCAGTTGTAGCACTGTTCCAGTTATTGCCAATGGGCCTACAACTATATCATCTGGAACTACTAATGTGAATTCATCCCCTTCATCTACTGAAAATGTAGATAGAATTAGTCCATCGGATAGTGGTAATATTACTGTCAGTAAGGATTTTCCTTCTGGCAGTTCAAACAAAGGTGCAAAAGTTGTTATTGGAAGTGAGTCAGTGCCTTCCATCAGTGACGGCTTAGGGACTAGACTGGCATCATCGTCAACTGTCTGTTTCTCTTCTTCAGACCCAGTACTGGTTCCATCGAATGATTCACGTTTTCCTAGTGTTGTTGGTGCAATTAAGCGGGAAGTGGGAGGCCAACATCCTCCTGCGGAATTAAATATGGCCAACACTTCTGAGAACAAATCTTCTGGTTAGGACATTTATGATCACGAGTTGGTTTCCATCTTGATTTATAATGTTTTTCTTTACCACAGCTGGTACTATTAAGGAATGGAAACCAAAGCCAACACATGCAATTAACCAGGCTTCCAGACCAGCTACCGTATCTGATTCTTTCGTTGTTTCAGCTGAAGCTACCATACAGTTGCCGCCTGTGTCTAAGGTCCTTGATTCTGAGGAAGCTGCTTCTGAACTGCAGAAGAAGCTTGAGAATTTACGCGTTCCACCGTGTCAACATGTCATTCTTCCAAACCATATGTCAATTATTTGTGCGGAGGAAGCGAAGGAAAGACTGGCGTAAGATTTCTCACATACCCACCACACTTTTCAATTGATCATGTTCACATAAGTAGTGTCCCGGTGAGTCACTAAAATATTTCTTTCTGAAAATGTTGTATATGTACATAGCCTTTATGTCTTGCCACTTTGTTTGTTCTTCAGTGTTTCATTACATTTATATTGACCATCATGTTTTTGGTCTTCAAAGCAGAAGAATTTGATCCGATTCTTTAGAAATTTGGGTCTTGACAGTTAAACTGCCGCACCTTAGCCAGCAACTAGTCCAATCCAATCCCAATTTATTTTTTAATAGCTTTGTTTATACATTGCAATATCAGCTTCTGCGTGGTTTATCAAGATATACTTCCCCTGCACTCTGCGTTTACTCTCACTCTAACTTGCATCGTACATCTTGATCTGATATTTAGGTAATGTTAATAACACTGAAGGAATTAATAAAAGACAGTCCATTCCAAGCTGAGTCAAAAGATGATCAACCCAACGCTGAGTTGAGGGACAACCGGTCGTTGATTGACAATAAAATAATTTAAAAAATGAGAAGGTGAGGGCTTCTTATTTTGTTTGGATTTTCAACGTCATTGTTGTCTCCTCACTTCAGACTTGATGAAAAAGAATGATAAAGTTTCCTGCATTTTTTGTGTACTTCGGTTCTATGCTTGGGGTTCAGTAGTGAGAAATTATGCTATTCTTTTTATGCAGACAGGGTGCTAAGGGTAATGAAATAATTGAAGCTCTCATTGCCAATAGCGCAACATTTGATAAGAAAACATCACTTCAACAAAACTCGAAACAAGATGTTGGTAGCGTGGAAAGCCAAACAATTGTAAGACACACTTCCTTGATATTCTAATCAGTTCTATCTTACTGTTTGAACAATTTATCATATATTTCAATGTTGCAGGATCCAGTGAGTACATTAGTTTGCATGGAGGAAATCTCTCCATTAGAAAATGGAGTTTCTGAGCTTGGTACTGAGAATATCACATTACCTATTCTAAAAGCTTACAAAGCTACAAAGGCTGGAGAAAAGGTGTCTCAAGAAATCCAGGACTCGTGGAAGGAAAATGGTTTTTCTAGATATTTCAACTTAAAAGTCAAGTGTTTGACACACAATTCAATGATCATAAAGTTGATGTAGCTTTAGATTCATAAGCTAGTACTGGATCGAACTTAAAACTCGTATAGCTTCATAATTCGACATAGTCGAATTAACATGATATAATCGAAGTCCATTAATGCTTAATTCAACATGCAGTTTGATGATGGAGTAGATATGTATGTCATGTAGTTATCGTCATACATATGACACAATAGGCTCTTCAGAGAGTGATTGATTGTTATTTTTATTGTAAATTTTGATTATATTTCAAAAAATTTAAGTAAATTTAATTTTTATTTTTAAGTAACAAATATGAGAAAATACTTTTAAAGAAAATTATTATTATTGTTACTTTGATATTTAACAATAACTATAATATTTTAAATATGAATTAAACACAATTAATAATAAAAAATAAAAACCTGAGAGAAATAATTTGTGAATTTACCTGCGAATTTACAATTTGCTGCGACGTTTCCTGTGAAACTTACATTTATCTGCGGCGTTTTTCTGCGAATTTATCTATTTTATGTACAACATTTTCCTGCGACTTTACCTGCTAAATTAATTACCCACGAAGGTTTTAGTTGGGAGCAGAAAATAGCAGAAAGAATCGCAAGTAATACGTTTTCTGCGAAAATTTTGTCAAAATCCGCAGGTAAATCCGCAGGAAAGCAGAGATTTTAGAAGTGTGTTTTGGAGGGATTTTGCTCCCCTCCCCCTCCTAAAATTTGAACCAAACATATTTAATTAAAAATTTTCCCTCCCCTCTATCTACCCCGAACCAAACACATCCTTAAATAGTTAAACGGCAGATGACAGAGACTTTTTATTGGACTTAACTGAATGGTCCAACTCATCGCGATCTATTGAGACACAAAACTCAATCAAACAATTCATCTATTTAGTATTTAATAATAATAGACTATAATATAATTAATTAATATTTATTAATTAATATTTAAATATGTCAATTTGTATTTGATTAATTAAATAATTAACCTAACATCTTTTTCCAATTAGAATTCATATTTGGTTGAAAGAAAAAATACAGTAAATACAATCTATTTTAGAAAATGAAAATAATAAGGATATGAGATCCCAACTTTAATTACTTTTTTGGTTTATAATATAATAAATATTTTTGGTCAAAACAAAAGGTAAAATATTTATATTTGAATTCAAATACAATTAAAAGAATCCAACAAAATATAGTTATATAATGAAAATTATAGTATTATTGACCAAATTTGTTGATGATAATAAAGCAGCAGGATATCTTGCCTTTTATTGTTGATGATTGAATAATTTTATCTTCTATTCTCAATAAAAAGGCCTTAAATAAGATATTCTCATTTATATTCTTAACAAATTCACATCTTCAAGTCTATCTACATTGTCATTTTCTCTACAGTTTCAGAAATATTAATAGGTATCATAGAACATAAAATTGTAACAAATTTCTCCCTTAATCTCTTTATAACAAGAACAAATGAGTTCAAGTTCTTTCACTATCCTTATTTTCTTTTTTCTTTCTTTTGTTATTTCTTTTGCTCATGCTCTAAACACCGGTTTTAGCGTTGAACTTATCCACCGTGATTCTTTAAAATCACCACTCCACCAACCTACACAAAACAAATACCAACATGTTGTCAATTCCGTGCGACGTTCTATCAATCGTGTCGATCATTTTTATAAATATCCCCGGACTGATACACCTAAATCAACGGTAATTCACGATAATGGTGAGTATTTAATGGCTTACTCTATTGGTACCCCGCCTTTTAGTGTATACGGTATTGTTGATACAGGGAGTGACATTGTTTGGCTTCAATGTAAGCCTTGCGAAGATTGTTACAACCAAACCACTCCTATATTTAATCCTTCAAAATCATCGAGTTATAAAAACATTCCATGCCCTTCTAAATTATGTCAATCAGTGAGAGATACATCTTGTAATGAACAAAACTTTTGCGAATATGCTATTAAATATGGTGATAAATCTCATTCACGCGGAGATCTTAGTCTTGAGACTCTTACATTAGATTCTAACACTGGTAATTCTATCTCTTTTCCTACATCAGTTATAGGATGCGGGCATAGTAATACTGGGACATTTCACGGGGCAGGCTCGGGAATAGTTGGTCTTGGAATTGGACCAGTGTCTCTTACAACAAAATTGGGATCAACAATTGGAGGAAAATTCTCTTATTGTTTGGTTCCTCATGCTCTCAAGTCAAACACGACGAGTATACTCAATTTTGGAGATGCTGCTGTGGTTTCTGGTGATGGCGTTGTGTCAACTCCTTTAGTGAAACTTAACCCGCCAACTTTTTACTATTTGACATTGGAAGCATTTAGTGTTGGTAGCAAAAGAATAGAACTTGGAAGATCTTTTAATGGTGGTGAAAAGGGTAATATCATAATCGATTCTGGTACAACATTGACGCTCTTACCTGATGATGTTTATGTTAATTTAGAATCAGCTGTGGCGGAATTGGTGAAACTAGAGCGTGTTGAAGACCCTGGTCGATTTCTCAGTCTTTGTTATAGGATCAAATCCAATGATTATGATTTTCCTATAATTACTGCTCATTTCCAAGGTGCAGATGTCAAGTTGCAATCAATGAGTACATTTGTTTTCATTGATGAAGATATTGTTTGCCTGGCTTTTCAATCGTCTAAAATTGGTGCAATTTTTGGAAACTTGGCTCAACAAAATTTGTTAGTTGGTTATGATCTTCAGAAAAATACCGTGTCATTTAAGCCTACCGATTGTACTAAGTTGTGATAAATGTGAACATTATTACTTTGCTATTTGATTTTCTAATAATAATAGAAATTTGGTTCTCTTTTTAGAAAGATGTCAAACACAATGTGGAGAACTGTGTGCGTGACAAAGGTAATGCAATATCATTTGAAAAGAAAATAAAGTAAAATGAACACATAGAGTTGGTAACCCACTTCAGGGCAAAATCATCTACATTTGAAGGGTGCTAACGCAAGAACGGAAATCCACTTTTAATATTAAATGTACAAACTGGGCTTAGATGAACTCGTTTAGTTCAATGTCTTTTTTTTTTAATATTGCCCGTGAATTTCTATTTAAGACTCCTCTTAAATATGAGATCATCCTCACTTTCTCTCAACCACTATCTCTAGTGTTTGAACAATTCCAAAATAGTTTTAAAGATAAAACTAAAACAATTCAAAATAAATTATATTCCTTTGTATAGCAATGATTTGAAAGAATAGAGTTTCACAAATCAAAACACAAGAAAATACAAAGACTAAAACTTCTAAAACACGCCTTGCAAGATCTCTCAAGGTATGAGTCTTATGTATGAAGAGCTTCTCCTTAAATAGTAAAACATCCAGTTGTATGGAGTGTAACACCCCAAATTTGATTAATTGGTGTTTTAATTAATTGTTGTGTGGTTGTGAGGAATATCCTTGAAGATTCAGTTACATTTTACTGTTTTTATTTATCAATGTGATTATATGATTTGTTGGATAGTTGTGAAGATCAAATCAAGTTTAAATACAATTTAAATATGAATTTGAATTAAACAAAACCATATCTTTCTGTTGGAGATATTTATGGAACAAATAAAATCCAACTGATTGTGCAAAGATTCTGGACGAAATTGAAGGCTCTAAGATTTAACTAAATTTTGATAAAACATGATGTTCTAATATGAAGAAATATGTAATGAACAAGATGTCTTATCTTGAGGACTCGACATCTTAGTCTAAACAGCAGGTTTGTTGCATATTTGTTCCAAGATTTAAGGCGCAATCAGAACATGGATCAAGAAATGATTGGACAGAGATTTTAAAGCCCATGGGTAACAGAAGATTATAAAAGGAAGATCAAGACCTAGGGTAAATTACTAGTCCTTGTTAAGACTTTTTTAAAGCAAAAATAAGGGTTTAGGATTTTGAGAGTCGTGTGCTTTTCTTGTATTGTAAGTCATCCTTTGTATTGTTTTGATACATTATGATAGACATAGTTTTTCATATTCAGAAACATGTAGGTAATGAATTGTATATTGTTCTTGGATGAAGCTTTTAAGAAAATTCAAGTATTAGTGTTAGTCAAGATTATTGACTGAATATTATGTTGAAAGGATTGTCTTTCAATTGAACAGTTTAATACAATCATCAGAGGTTGTGACTGTTAGATATCACTGAGGTAATTTAGGAATTGTGATGGGTTTCTAGGTAGAAGCTACACTGGGTAGAGAATTAAGTGATAAGTTACCGAAGGTTGTATACTTAGAATTAATACTACTGATAGTGAATTCATTCTTGGTTTGGTAGCCTCCAGATGTAGGTGTTGTTGTACACCTAACTGAGTCATCATATCTTGGTGTTATTTATCATTCTGCTATGTATAATTCAGTCTATTCTTATGCTCTAAAATATATGTATTAATATATGTTGAAACATCTGTCATGACACTGTTATGACTTTGAGATATCAGAATGTTCTTATTCTCTCCTTGTTTAGTAAAGCAGAGATCAATGTCTCAAAATTTCTTGGGACATATGTTATCTGTATACTAAAATTTCAATTGGTATCAGAGCAGGCATCCTATTCTGTTTCTAAATGAGTTCTACGGAAGATACTTTCTGGTTTTTTGAACAAGGAAGGAGATTGTATGATCAGACCATCCATTATTGTTGTGTTCAAGAGGATTGGAAGCTAGGATGATAACTTTTTTAATCCAGCTTGACAACTACTGATGGTTAACTGATACTTCTGTGAAGATTCTACCACTGTTGTTGATAATGATGTTATTGTTACGCATGGTGCTTTATAAGATGTTCTGACATCTTACTTGGTGCTTGTTAAATATGGTGTCAGCCTCTATAGATGATCAAGCCATCACTAGCTGGAAGTAATATAAAGGAGATAACATTGTGATCTGACTTCTACTAAAGGATCTTTCTATGTTGCTTGGAAGATAGTTTCAACCAGGTACCATGAAGTGTAATAGAAGGAAGAAGGTTGAGTTGAGGTCTTGTTTATCAAATTCATGATCTATGGATTTGGTAAACACTTTATATCACATTTAAAGTACCCTAATATACTTGAGTTTTCTTTGAAGTACACTCATAAAGGCACTTCTAAATGTGTTTGATAAATAGAGTTCAGAAGAGAAGATGGTCAAGAAGAAGAGAATTTCATACCATTGAAGAAAGACATGAGCAATTTATTTTTGTTCTCAACCCTATAAGAGATTGTCTATCTTTGAGGATTACCTATTAGAATTCTTTGAAGGAAGCCTATTCTGGAATAGAAAAGAAGGAACGGTATGGTTGTTTAAATGTCAACACAATTGTACTAACATTCAAATAGGCTGAAACTGGAGTAAAAATTGATCAATGTCGAAGCATTCTTATGAGTATGAAGACATTGGATCTTTGTGGAGAAAGTTTTCTTACTGATCTCAAAAGCAACTACATGAGGTTTCTAACTCTTGGAAAGTGATCCTGATTATCCAAGGATATTACTAGTTTGTTTGAAAATGGTCTTCTAAGGAAGATTTATGCTTTGAAGATTTCTTCCTAGGTTGTAGCTAATGTAAGGAAGGGTGTCAACCTGAAGAAATAGGAGTCTGTAAGGACTGAACAGTTGTAGAGGAACCATCTAGTGAAGAGGTTTTTGGAAGATTCAGGAGGATATGGTTTTCCTAGTCTGAACACCAAAGAGAACACTGAACTATCAAGAGGTTGTGTATCAAGAAGCAAGTTGAGTCATGGATGTTAATCTTAATGCCTCAACATTGTAATCATCATTAGGATTCTCTAGCTAAAGAGGAGTCTTATGACATTTAGTGACTGAAAAATACAAAATTAGGATTTAAAATCAATTGTTGTCTGTGGCCTTAGAAAACTTAATTGATTATCCTTTTGCTTGGTGTTCAAGAAAGATGATGTCAAAATGTCACACCAGAAGATGCGGCTTCAGACAGTTGTAAGAACTCAAAAACCTATTTTGTGTATCTAATTTGACTTAAAGAATGGATACAGTCAGTATCATCAGTGAAGTTCTCAAAAGGTCCTTATCTTTTCCTTAAATGTAAACAAGGTGTGTAATTCTAGTAATGACTTTAGAACCAATTTCAATGATGTGTTCATTGGAAAAGGAACTAATGTTCAACCAGATGTTGAAACATCATTCCAGAAGAGTGTATGCAGAATCTTGTTGATCCAAGGAGTGAACTTCTTGAACAAAGGAGTGATGCAGCATATGCTCTGGATGCTAAACAAATGTGTTTTGATCAAAATGTTGGGAATCTTCTTCAGATTGGACTTGAAGAGACATTTGGTTTGCAGTTTAGGAAGTCTCTATCCAAGAAACTTGTTATGGATAGGTGTGCTGGTGGAAGTGAAGATTAACACATGATCTTTCTGATGAACATTTCTTGGGTCAGTTTATTTCTGATCTAAGCGTATAGGGGTGCGGAAGCTATGTCCCAGTATCTCCTATAGGAGTATATGTTCTAATTCCTAGTAGAGGACTGTTAAAGGCATCTCAACCAAACTATATGGAGGTCAAAATCTAATATCTAGGACGTTTTATCAGATATCTTAAAGACTCTTATGCTCATAAGAAGCCATATTCATGTGAACCTGCTTGTGGATACTCTTTTCAAATAGAATAGTCTCTAGTATGGATGGTTATGATGGAGAAGGGAACTTAAATAAGCAATTGATCAAGATGGTTTTTCAGAAGACTGGTTGTTGTTTTTCTTAAAACAAGATGAAGGTTGTTTACTCAAACCTAAATACAGGTTTCAAGTATATGAGAACATGGAATCTTGTTCTGTTGAGGTAGAGAAATCCTTCAAGGTGGGATGAGCTTTTCAAGAATCGTGTTTGGAGCAAGGAGGAGTTACAATTGGAAGATCCAATTTCTTTGGTGGATCAAAAAAGACCACTCTTCTGGAACTTTGATTGATCACCTTGTAGGGAGTTATGTCAAATAACCATAGTTATTTGTATGCTCAATGGAGATTTTTCTTTTGCTTAGGGTCCAATAAATGTGTGTAATCACATGTTTGGAACATTTGATCTTGCAAGTGATGGTGTTATTGACTTTACGAAGGTCTGTGCAAAAGGGTAGTAGATATAAAGTTAAAGGATAAACTATTTATGTCCATGCCTTTGTGCGTGTAGATGAAACCCCAAGGTGTTTAAGGATGGTTAATTTCTATAAAAAATCAGATAGATTGTTTACACATTCTGTTTCTGGTAGAAGCTTCATGAGATGCATGAGAGTTTATTTCCCTTGGTAGTTTTCTGATTCATGTGAAGATTAAGCCGATACAAGTGTGTATCATATTAAAACTTCATGTGTACCTTAACGAGGTGTAAGAATTACTATGGAAATGGTAAGTCTTGTGATTGGTGTTTCAAGAATCAAAGTACATGGCTCCTCTGATTGAGACTGATGTCCTAAATGATGTTGGAACATCATTTGTGCTACTGGTTATTCTTAGATGATGACTGAGTTTGATTTTAATCTTTAGAGCTATATCTATTCATTATGGAGTATGGTGTAGAGCTACTGGTCAAGACCGTGTCGATTCTAATTATCTGTGAGTAGATGGTAGGTTATGCTGGAACTATCTCTAGAAAAGATTGTATCAGGATGAATCTTGAGAAGGAAGCGGGTTGAGGATGTATCTATCTTCCTATGGAGAAGGGGTTTGATGTCTTCCAAGTGTGGATGACATCTTGGCTAACCAAGGAGTTAAGAGAATTTGTATGTCTCTTTCGA